GTCTAGACAAAGCCTCCATAGGAGAGGGCTGCATGGGAGGTGGAGTCAGTGGCTTGGATCCAGGTTTCAGTGACCACTAGGAGGTTGAGGGAGTGGGAGTCAAAGAGGTTGTGGATGGCGGTGAGCTTGTTGCAAACCAAGCAGGCGTTCAGGAGTGCAACCGAGAGAGGAGGGGTGGATGCGGGGAGGAGGGGGACAGATACGAGGTTGAGGGGGTTGCGGTGGCTGGCGGGAGTAGAGGGGTTCCGAGAGGGGGAGTGGGGAGATGGGGGGCCAGGGTTCGGGGAGATGTCTCCGGCGGTTAGGAGAAGGAGGAGGGTGAGGAAGGTGGCATGGGAACTGGATGTGCAGGAGTGTGTGGGTCTGTTGGTGGTGGCGTGTGGGTCGGCGGGGGAGTGGAGTGTCAGGAGGAGGTGGTGAGAGCCGTAGAGCGGGGGAAGGAAAAAGTGAGAGTGCAATGTAGAGCTGTTTTGGGGGAGAAGGGGGGTGGAGGGAAGCAAGTTTGGGAATGGAGAGGAGAACGAGGAGTGCACGTGGCATGCTAGGGTGAGCAGAGTGCTGGTCGGGTCGGGGAGGAGGGAGGTTTCAGTCAGGACGTGAGGATGGGGAGAGTCTGTTATGCCGTGTTGGAGTTCATCGGTGTGCAATCGTAGGAGGGGAGTGGTGGGCGGCTGGGGCCGCAGCTGGCTGGTTGCAGTCTGTGGGTGCTGTAGGCCGGCGTCCGTGAGTGTTGTGGCACGGCGTCGGTGGGTACAGTGGTGCAGCAGCTGGACGAGCCGTGGGACACGGTGATTGGAGGTGCTGGAGGCCCGGCGACGGGAGGTGTCGAGGGCCCGGCGACGGGAGTAGCTGAAGACCCGGTGTCAGGAGGTGCAGAGGGCTCGGCGACAGGGGGTGCTAAAGGCCCAGTGTCGGGGGGTGCTGAGGGCCCAGTGTCAGGGGTGCTGAAGACCAGGCGTCAGGAGGTGCTAGAGGCCTGGCGGCAGGAGGTGCTAGAGGCCGACGTCTGGAGGTGGTGTGGGCCGATGTCCGGAATGGGCTAGGCGTTTGTGTCCAGTCGGATGGAGCAGGGCTCAGGGCTGGGCAGTGGTAGGGGCTTGGTTGAGTGGAGCACGGTGGGGAGCAGATGTGGCAGCGGTAGTTTACCCAGCTTACCCTCTCAGTGCCAGTGGGGGTGGTTGCTGCTTCCTTCAATCTGTGGGGCCCGGAGCGGGGCGTCACGGCGACGATCCTCGGCCCTCTGGGGTTCGCGGTCCTCCGTGGTCTGCTGCGACCGGTAGGAGAGGCCGCAGCTTCAGGAGTCGTGGTAACCACGAGTCGCCAGATCTTCACCAAGGGACAGCGCACCGGAGGGCGGGGTGGTGGGCTAATGGTCCCTGGTGGGGTGGTGGGCTTGCGATCCCAGGTGGGGTGGTGGGTTAGCGATCCCAGGTGGGGTGGTGGGGTTAGCGATCCCAGGTGGGGTGGTGGGCTTGCGATCCCTGGTGGGATAGTAGCGATCCCTGGTGGGATGGTGGATTTGCGATCCCTGGTGGGATAGTAGCGATCCCTGGTGGGATGGTGGACTTGCGATCCCTTGTGGGATAGTAGCCAGGGGTCCCTGGTGGTTTGGGTCCCTGGTGGGTAGTGGGTGCCACGTTTGTGTCCCTGGTGGGATGGTGGGCTTGCGATCCCCGGTGGGATAGTAGCTTAAGGTCCCTGGTGGCTTGCAGTCACTGGTAGGTAGTGGGTTCCCCGTTTGTATCCCTGGTGGCTTGAGGTGTGTTGGCGGCTGGGCTCCCTTGTGGGTAGTGGGTGCCCCTGATGGAGTACCTGGTGTCCTGGACGTCAGGATGGTAGCGGACCCCTCCTGGGTGTCAGTAGGACCGGTGGGGATGGTGGCAGCTTCCCCTGAGGAGCGGAGGCGTCCCACCGCGATTCCGGCCACGGCCGGCAGGAAACACTGCGGCTTTGGGTGCCGTAGTAGGCCTCAAGCCGCTTTGGCCTGCTGGAGCTCCGCCGGAGGGACGGAGTGTCCAGGGCCCCTTCAGGGTGTTGGTGGGAACCTCGGCGGCAGGCTCAGGGGCCCGGATGGTGGCGGATGGGGTGCGGGGGCACCGGAGCTGGCGGTCATGCGGCTGCTCCGGGCGCCATCTTTACTTATGTATTTTAACCTGTACATGAATCTAAATTCAGCCAGTTCAGCAAGGACCAGCTGAATTTCGATCAATGTTCAGGCACTGAGGTTGTACAGAAGTCATTCTACTGATCATCTTCTGTTCAACCACTATGTTGGATTTTCCCCGCTAAGGCTTTAGCTGGCAGTGCATTCGAATGGTGGGGACGCTTCCTTGCTGTCAAAATACAATAGTTCAGTGGGAGGACCCTCTCTATCCACAGTGAGGCCAGTTCACACAACATGCAATTCAGTTGCTTTTTTTTCTGTATCCAAAACCCACAGAAAGTAGGTTATATGGTTGTCAATGTCATAATTCACATCAGTGCTTGTAGTTCCAGTGTGTTACGGTTGCAGAAAAAAAAAGTACAACATGCTGCATTTATTCTGCACAGAACTGTACTGGAATGCAGTAAAACGCATCAAAAACACGCATACAGAGACACATCCGGAACACAAATGGACTGCGTTTCTAAAGTGTGAATCGGCCCTTAGTGTGTGGATGGTGGAATCAAGTCATTTTTTTTTCCACTCAAACCACAGCCTTACTCATTCTAATAAAAATGTGCTAAAATTTCACTTTCAAACTGTTTATATGTCAATTTTAACAATTTAATGCTGAATTCAATACAAAAAAAAGAATTCAAAATATATGCAGTACTAAAAAGTTATGCTTACTTTAGTCTAAAAAAGAAAAAAACACAAGTGTGAAGACCAGGCCTTGTCTAACACTTTATTATTTATATATATAAAATATATTTTTAAATGGTGGGTGTTGTAATTTCTTATTGTAGCTTGTGTGAATATTGTTAGTAGATCTTTAAAAAATTTTGTGCCACTGTTTGAAAAGCCTTGTAGGAATGAGGCATCCATCAAAGAAAAGGCAATTAATTGAGGCTATAATTGCTTCTTGGCACCACATAATAATGAAGGTAACACTTCAAAAAATTGTTGGCTCAGTGGGACGTCACTGTAATGCAGTTTTAAAGTATAAAGACTACCCTACTAAATACTGGTAGTATACTGAAACCATAAGTGCATTACAGTATATTCAGCATGATTGCAGGATGCCCGGCATACCTTTTTTTGTACTGCATATCATTTGTATTCTGTTGTTTGTATTGAATTCAGCATTAAATTGTCTTTAACTACTTGCCCTACAGAGAATTTACCCCTCTTCCTGACCAGGCCATTTTTTGCGATACGGCACTGTGGTACTTTAACTGATAATTGCGTGGTCATGCAACACTGCACCCAAATGAAATGTATGTCCTTTTTTTTCACCCACTGATCGCCTCTGCAGGTTTTATTTTTTGTGCTATAAATTAAAAAAAAAAAAAAAAGACATTTTGAGCAAAAAAAAAACCAAAACAATATTTTCGACTTTTTGCTAATAAAAATGTCCATTAAAAAAATTTTAAAAATCAAACTTCGTCATAAATTTAGACCAAAATGTATTCTTCTATGTGTTTGCTAAAAAAAATCCTAATACATGTAAATTAATTGGTTTATGTGAAAGTTATACAGGTGAAACTTGAAAAATTAGAATCGTTGCAAAATTGATTTCAGTGATGCAACTTAAAAAGTGAAACTAATATATGAGATAGACTCATTACATGCAAAGCAAGATAGTTCAAGCCGTGATTTGTCATAATTGTGATGATTATGGCTTACAGCTCATAAAAACCCCCCCAAATCCACAATCTCAGAAAATTAGAATATTACATGCAATCAATAAAACAAGGATTGTACATAGAACAATATCGGACCTCTGAAAAGTATAAGCATGCATATGTACTCAGTACTTGGTTTGGGCCAATTTTGCAGCAATTACTGCCTCAATGCGGCGTGGCATGGAAGCTATCAGCCTGTGGCACTGCTGAGGTGTTATGGAAGACCAGGATGCTTCAATAGCGGCCTTCAGCTCTTCTGCATTGTTCGGTCTCATGTCTCTCATCTTTCTCTTGGCAATGCCCCATAGATTCTCTATGGGGTTCAGATCAGGCGAGTTTGCTGGCCAATCAAGCACAGTAATCCCACAGTCATTGAACCAGGTTTTGGTGCTTTTGGCAGTGTGGGCAGGTGCCAAATCCTGCTGGAAAATGAAGTCAGCATCCCCATAAAGCTCGTCTGCAGAAGGAAGCATGAAGTGCTCCAAAATCTCCTGGTAGACGGCTGCATTGACCCTGGACCTTTTAAGTTGCATTACTGAAATAAATGAACTTTTTCACAATATTCTAATTTTTCGAGTTTCACCTGTAGTGTTTACAAATGGTGGTATATATACACCGGAATTTTTTTTTTTTTTTTTTTTTACTGCTAATGGCGGCGATCAGCGACTTATATTGGGACTGCGGTGGGCATTCTGGCACTGGGGAACTGACTTGGTGTCACTGACATCCCCAGTGAAACCAATACAGTGATCAGTGCCATTTAAAAGCACTGACACTGTACTAATGGCACTGGGCATGAAGGGGTGAACATCTGTGTGCCGTTTCACTATAGGGGCTGTGTGCGGGCTTCACTGTAAGCACACTGCTTTGTATGCCTCTGCTCCTGTGCGCCCCCTACCCGGAAATGCAAAATTATTATATTATTATATTATATATATATATATATATATATATATATATACACACACACACACATATAGATATACACACACGCGATTTTGCACACCCCTGTCGCCCTGTAGAAGTATTTCTGCTATAGGGCAGAGGGGAAGCAGTTAAAATTGATATATAAACATTTGCAAGGGGTGCAATATAACATTTCTTGTAAGCCTACAACGTTACAAAACATTAAAATGTTAAAAACATTTATTGTATCTCTATATAAAACATACCTTATTCAGCTCCGGAAGAACGTGGTCTTCTGACATTCGTAGCATAGCTAAAAAAAAAAAAATTATAATAATGAAGAGACCTGACTAATGAAAGACAATTTGTTTCTAAAACGATCAGGATTATGATTTTTTTATTTTTTAGTATACAGAAAATCTATATTTAAAAAATTAAATATCCAGTAAATTTTTTTGCTTACCTACATAAAGCCATCGAAAGAATGCCTTAAAGTTTTTCATCCCACTGTCTATAACTCTGAAAATAACAAAATGTTCATATTTAAAAGAGAAGCATAAATTTAAAAAAATTGAACATGTTCAACTCATACATTGGTGTGATGCTGTAGTCCTTTGCTGGCTCTAATACCCAGAGCTGAGCAATCGCATCCGCTAACCACTCAGCTCTTCATCTGCTTGGAGCGGAGAGAAGTGACTGTCAGTCACTGCTCTCATCCTCCAACACTCACTGGAGCACCAGGCTGGAGGGAAGGGTGGGGTCTGCTGGCTCTCAGTTGCATGCTGAGAGGCAAAGCCAGCTGTCAATAAGTCTGCCTGGTCAGTCCAAACAATATTGTCTGGCTCCTTCCAGAGCCTAAGTGGCTCTTCCCTGATTAGCTGATGGAAGGCAATAGCACGCTATCAGCTGACTCCGGGTCACAGGAAAACAAAAGTAAGTGTACCCCTGTGATTCATAAGGGAAGTGCAGTCAAAAAAGCTTTAGCTATACTTCTCTCTTAATTTAGATTGTAAGCTCCAAGGAGCAGGGCCCTCCTAACCCTCTTGTATTGAACTGTATCGTTGCTGCATTGTCTCCCTTTATATTGTAAAGCGCTGAGCAAACTATTGGCTCTATATAAATCCTGAATAATAATAATTTAAAAACAAAAAGGCCCACATCTATAGCCCATTAAAAAAGAAAAAAAAAGTCAACCATCAGTTTAGAGATTGACAATAGCAAAGCTTGTTTCTAAAGAGCTTATCCCCAGAATGTACACTTTTACATCTTAAACATAACATTTCTTTTTCTAGAAGTGTAGAATGGAGAACATTACTGGACATATAAGGTTATCATATTCAACATAAACCACATTGTTTTATTGCGGTTATTAATGGCCTGCATTTTTTTTCCCTTTAGGAAAAGTAAATAATGCTGACTGCCACGAGGTTTGGACAGTTTGACATGAATATCTTCTCTGACAAATGTAATAAGAGGTTGCAGCAATGTTGGCAGTAAATGGTTGCAAGAAATCTCCACATTTCAAATTTATCTTTACTAATTACTATCCTTGATATACTTACATGTGACAATTATTTGCAAATATGTGTAAAAGAGGAAGAATTCACATTAAAAAAGCCTGCACTGTCAGTTTTTCTCTTGTTCATAAAAGACCAAACAATTTTTAACCTCTTACAAATATTAACAATTTAATATGGTAATGTTGAAATAAGACTTACTGTAAAAGCTCATTTGCTTTAAGAATGAAGGAACCAACAGATGTTATTGCATCTGTAAAAGAGAATTTATTTACAAAATGCTACTACAGTTTCTCTCATAAATTATTCGCACCAGATGTGATAAAAATGCTTTAAAAAGCGTTACTAAACCCACAACAGTAAAATCAATCAGTCTTTATATGCAGTAAAACATGCTTGTTTATACGCTCTGTGGAACCTAAGGGTTTAATTCCCTGCATTGTGTAAAAAGGCTGTTTATCCTGTCTTCTCTGATCCTCCCCTTCTTCTATTGTCCTCAATCCATCTGCTGATAGTACAGAGCTCTAGGAGTCACTCTGCACATGCTCAGTTTAGTATGTATTGCTAGAGTTTTTTTTTTCTTTGGGTGGGTGCATGTGATCAGCACAGGGCCAATCAAGCACTGTCCAGACAGAGTGTCAGGGGTTATGCAGCCTCATAGGACAGTCAGAACAGAATGAAAACTCCTCCTACAAGCTCTAACCAGCTCAGCTAGGCACTGATAGATGTCACAAGGCTGCTATATACTGCTGCTGAGAAAGGGTATGTAGCAGTTTACATTTATGAAAATAATAGCATTTCCATGTTCTGTGTACTGTGGAAGACCAGATATAGTGAATGCAGGGTCATGGATTTAGTAACACAAGCATTGTGCATAATAAACACACACACACTGCTGCTCATTTTCAGAAGTGTTGCAATGAGATTTTGATAATCTCCATTCACATGACACAAATGGCACATCATTCTGATGAGAAAAGGTCTATATTGGCAAACGGAAGTACCATGTAGTTTTTATCACACAACAACAAAACACATAAAAATACTGTACATGGAATCACATTCACTGACCCAAAGTATGAAATGAGACACATGTATTGTCTGAGGCACTCCTGCCTGCTAGTCTAATGTAATTTTATGTAAGATATGGCGATGTCACTACTGCACTGATCAGTGTTCTTGTTGCCGGAGAGGAAGTTGTACCTGAGAGCCTGCAGTGTAAGGATCTACCTACCACCTTCTGCTTCCTTCCATCAGTGGATGTGTGCTTCATTCACCTTTTCTGCTGCTTTTTGACCATTACCCTACCAGTCATTGTCTCACTGGTTATCAAGGGGGCAGCTCCTATTTAAGGAAGCAAAGCCCAGCCTCCACCAAGATTGGGGCCTCTAAACACAGACACCATGCAAAACGATGAAAAATAATCAGCTACATGGTGCATATAGGCAAAATGTTGACTAGTCATTTGTCATCCGCTTTCCTTTTTTGAGCACAGCTCAAAATGTGCAATTGCAGTCATGTCCGTTAAATTTTAGACAAAATGGAGTAAGGTTTAGATCCTCTGTCAGCATTAAATAGTGGTCTATGGTTATGTTGGGAAATATTTCTCCTCATCTCCAATAGAAGTGCAGACTTGTCTATGGGAGAGGAAGCAAGGTATTATATGTCCAGCAATAAAAATCTGATAATTAGAAATTTTACATTAACTAGAAGTTACTGTCTGTTGCAAGATACCCACTCGACTCATAACGTGAACGGTTTATATATTTAATAACTTAATGTGAAGATGGTCATTAAGCATATTCATTATAAGCATTTATGTATCTCCATAAATCAATTTGATCATCCAACTACATACCTTCAATTGCTTTGGCTTCTAAGCCAAGAGATTCATACTTCTGTTTCCACAAGGCCATTCCTTTTAGTTCACTTAGATGATAGAGCAAAACTTCAGCTCCACTGCAAAATCAATGAACAAAATATAAAGGTTATGATATTGGGATCATATACTGGGATTTCTGGTTCAACTATAAAATTATTTTCTTGGAGTACATCACAGGACACTTCTTATGCATGGCTACTGGGGTTATGCTGCCACTTTCAAGTGAATGGGCACTTGCAAAAAAGGCAGGAATTCCCACCCAGACATAACTCCTCCCAGCCCGAGTTTTTAGCAAGCAATGAGGAACACTGACAAACAGGGCAGGGATCCCTGTGTCCTGTGATATACTTCAAGAAAAGGATTTTTATAGGTTCACCCAATAAAAAAAAAACAAAAAAAAAGCAAATTTTCTAATTGTACATCACAAGGCATAGCGTACTTAACATTCATGATTACTTGGGATGGTCCAAAGCACTGTAGACAAGAGGAGACTAACACAGCAACAAGGCCAAAATGCCCAAAAGAATGGGGGAGAACCCCACTACAAAGCTGTCCTTTTGCCAAAAACTGGCATTGCCAGAGGTGTGAACATCTACCTGGTAGAACTTAGTAAGTGTAACAGCCTTACAAAATTGAACAACAGAAACTTGATGCTGAATCACTCAGTAAGCATTAACACTTCTGATGGAATGGACATTGAACAAGAAAGAACCCTGCCCTTAATGTTATAGTGTGAATAATATCCTCACACCCACGCAAACAAACCGTAAAAGAAAAACTAAGAGAAAGTTGCTTGCCATGAGACTAAACTGTCTAAGAATTCTATCAAAGGATCACACACTCAAAAATCTCATCAATAAATATAAGAAACACTAAATATAAGCATCAATAATTGTAACGCATAAACATAACTTAAATGTCCTTTTCTCATAAATTAAAACAATTCAAAGTTTGGTGCTCAATCTTGTGTGATTGGTGCAAAAACAAAACAAAAAACAAGCAACAAGAAAGGTGGATTCCCTCCTGCCTATGCCCCTCCACTGACTTCTCCATCAAGATCAATAATACAACCATCAGTCCCTCCCTTCATGCCAGGGTGCTAGGTGTAATCCTGGACTTTGACTTGTCCTATCAGCCCAAAATCCAATCACTTTCCAAATCTTGTAGACTTCACCTCTAAAACATCTCCAAGATACGCCCCTTTTTTAACAGTTGAAACCACTAAGGAAAATTATTCACTCCCTTGTTATCTCTCGTCTTGACTATTGTAACTTCCTCCTCATTGGCTTACCTTATCGCAGGCTATCCCCTCTTCAGTCTATCATGAATGCTGCTGCCAGACTCATCCACCTTACCAACCGTTCCGTGTCCACCACCCCTCCCTGCCAATCCCTCCACTGGCTTTCCATTGCCCCACAAATAAAATTCAAAACATTAAACGACAACATACAAAGCCATTTACACCTCTGTCCCAAACTACCTCACCAATCTTGTCTCCAAATATCACCCAAACAATCATCAGCACTCCTACCAAGACCTCTTGCTCTTTAAGTTCCCTTCTCTCCTCCTCTCATGCTTGTTTCCAGAAATTCTCCAGAGCATCTCTCATCCTCTGGAACTCCCTACCCAATCTGTCCAGCTATCGCCTACTCTATCCATTTTTAGGCGATCCCTGAAAACTTCTCTCTTCAGGAAAGACTATCCTGCCTTCAGATAAAAACCGATTCTTCTATTTCTCCCACCAGTTCATCCCCCACATTTATTCACTTTTGTTCCACCAGCCCCTCCCGATTATATTGTAAGCTCCCAGGAGCAGGGCTCTCCTAACCCTCTTGTATTGAATTGTATTGCTGCAGCATTATAAAGTGCTGAGCAAACTGTTTGGCGCTATATAAATCCTGTATAATAATACTAATAAAAAATAATTTTATAGGTCTGAGAAATAAGCTGGAAAATCCACATGGAAATAGTGGATCAAGAAATAGCCTGACCCTTGAGGGGTCCCTCAGGGAGAACTGTCAAAATTCAAAGAGTGAAGCACCTTTTCCTTTATTGATTGGTAACTGACATGCAATGAGGAATGCACCTTAGGTGTGTTTAAAAAAAAGAAAAAAAAATAGGGAGAGGACTAAAACCTCACCACCAGCTGGGGATGAACCAGAAAAGGTTCCTTGCAGGCGACTGCAGCCAACTCCAAGACTGCAAGGCAATGTAACAGCAACTAAAAGGCAACCCTGCACATAAGAGGGAATCTCTCAAAGGGACTCAAAATGTTAAGACTGCAAAACAGAAAAGACTAAATTGAGGTCTCAAGAAGACAAAGGGGGCAGACACAGGAGAAAATTACTGTAACACCATGTACAAAGACTTTTACAAAGGACTGACATGGGATAGGTCTTTGATAAAGAATGGCTAAGACTGTTAAGTGCCTTTGATGGTACTTAAAACCAGAAAAACAACACACCCCATGACATACTGTTGGGGATGGAATCTAAAAGGATACATTCATCTTTTAGTAAAAAATAATAGCATTGCACCAGCGATCCGGGATCCCTGATCCCCCACTAGCTATCAAAGCAGGAAGCGTGGGCCGGTCATGATACACCCTTAATATGGATGCAACATGTTACGAAAGGTGAACTTATCCTTCAAGAGCCTCACACAAGGCAAAATAAGCTTTCCATGTATGATGGTACACCTTCCAGGAGTTTGACATTTTGACTTGAGGATGGCAGATATTACAAAATCAGGCACCCCATCCCTCAAGACATGGGCTTCAAACAGCCATACCGTCAAAGCCAGTGACTCTAAAACAGCATGTTATTAAAAAATAAATAAATAAATTGGCACATTCAGTACAGTACAGTATAATGCAGAACATATCACCAAAAGAGAGGATGGACTTTTAAGGTACCCAACAGTCTTTATAATAAAAAATCAAATTTCCTATTATTAACATCACAATTGATTTAAACAGGTATATACAACTCACAATGCGCACAGTTACAGTTAATAGATATCTCCATGGATGATTAGCTTTCACTGTCCACGCAGCCGATGTGGGGGCCGGGGATTTGAAAGCCGCAGTCTTCTTTCTCTTCTCTCTTTAAGAACGCCAGGGTGGATCACAGCAATTCTAATTGGTCAGAGCGGTCACATGCCAGTACATGAACAATTAGAAGAGTTCTGATCCGTCCCCAAAGAAAACTATGGTTTTCAAATCCCCAGACCCCTGCACTGGCACCAGATGTTGGCTTTAACTTTCTGAAAAAAAAGTTAATTTCCTATCTTTTACAAAGCCTACTCCTATGAGAAGAGTTCCAGTATACATTTTGGCAATATTAAATGAACATACCTTTGTAAATGGCTTATTACAAGTTTCTGAATAGTGGAGTATGAAGATTCTACAGACTGGCCAAGCTTCTTTAGGCCCTGAAAGCCAAGAATGTTAACAATAAAAAAATGCACTTTATAAAACAGAACAACAAAACACAGATTGATACTCACTTTAATAGTCAGCTGATTCATCAGCAATCCTTGGAGCTCCGGGCTAAATGTGAGACATAGATAAGTTAAAAATTGTAGTACATTAAAAAAAAAAAAAAAAAAAGGAATTGATAAGGATTGCTGTACATCGAATGATCTTTTAATCAATGCATTCTTTAATTACATGTTGGTTTCTGAGCTTTACTATAAACATGCTATTCAGTTTTAAGAGTAGGTTCACCTTTATAATAAAATTTTCAATGCAGTAAATGGGCCCCAGTAGTTTTCAAATCATGATGTAGAGTAGAGGAACTGAGCTTCCCCAAGCTGAACTCGAACAATAACATATTTTGTCTACCGCTGCCTCTGTGAAAGCTGTAAACCTCTGAAGTAGCCCAAGCGACTGCAGTAATAGCCACAATGTTCCAGGTGCCATGTTGAGCAGCTGCCCTTATGCATAACCACCAGGGATCGCTTACTCGGCACAGTACGGCCATCCAGAGAATCCTTGTGCATTTCTCAATGAATGCAAAGTGTTCTTTGATTGGATGAGATGGAGATGAGGGGCAGTGACAACATGTCTTTAGCTGCAGCGGAACAGCTGTTGTGAACCTGGAAGTGATTAAATGCTTGTCACTTTCAGGCTCATTCATCACAGAGGAGATTGCGGAACAGGGTTAGGAAGCCTCTTCTCAGTACTCCAATCCCCGGCTGACAAAAACATTACTAAACTTACGGCTGCAGCCGTGAGCTTGTTTTAGTCCCTTGAATACCAGGAGGTTCACAAAATTCCCCTTGGTAGGCAAGGGGATGAAGTACATACCTTTAACCAACAGTGGTTTCTGCAAAGACTTCCCAAAACTTAAAGGAGTTTTGACTTACCTGTAAAATCCCTTTCTTGGAGTACAGTAATAGACACTTGCTTAAGAAATCAAGACAATGGGTAATATGCTACCACCTTCAGGTGAGGACACTGGCAAACAAATTTGTTAGGATAACCCAAATAACCCCTCCAACTCCCAGCAATCCTAATTTTTTAGAAAACAATCAGAAAAAAAAAACCAGTACACAGGACAGGGTGACCTATGCCATGTACTGTACTGAAACAAAAAGATTTTACAGGCAAGTGAACAATCCTTATTTCCTAATTGTACAGTACATTACTCAGGCTTCCATTATTCCGGTATGCAACAACCCCAAGCAATCCAATGGCCAACAGGCCATAAACAAGGGTATCAGGGCATCAGCAGAGGCCTGAAAACCCACCAGATAAAACTTAAACATGTGAACAGAGGGCCAGGTGGCGGTCTTGCAAATATGAGAAACAAACACCTGCTTTGGATCCTTGCACTTGGCAATAAGTCAGTCCAACCTTCCTGCTGAAGCAGGATGCCAAAAGATCTTATGTCCGATGTCCTGCAGAGGTGACTGATGTCCTGGAACACATTGGGGTGAGGAGACCATTACCTCGCATCTAGTCGATGACTGAGACGTCTATCTACCAATTATAATGGAGATCTCCTGCGCTACTAATAAGTGGTAATTCAAGTGTGTGGGAGCTGCTACCACCTAACCATATACCAAGTGGAAATAATAAATGACTAAATAAAATGATGCAGCGCTACCCTAAAACCATAATATAATACAATATGACAACAAAATACAAAGTGAATATACAGTGAGGAACAGAAGTATTTGAACACCCTGCGATTTTGCAAGTTCTCCCACTTAGAAATCACGGAGGGGTCTGAAGTTCACATTGTAGGTGCATTCCCACTCAGAGATCGAATTTAAAAAAAAATTCAGGAAATCACATTGTATTATTTTTAAAGAATTTATTTGTCTTGCAGTGCTGAACATAAGTATTTGAACACCTGAGAAACAGCAAAAATTCTGGCTCTCAAAGACCTGTTACTGTGCCTTTAAAAAGTCCACCTCTACTCCACTCATTAATCTAACTTAGTAGCATCTGTCTGAGCTCTTTAAAGACACCTGTCCACCCCACAGTCAGTCAGACGCCAACTACTACCATCGGCAAGACCAAAGAGCTGTCGAGGAGGAGCCTAATCATGGCAGCGAGAGAGAGGGCGATGTGAGCGCTCTCCACAGGACGACCACCCTCCTTCCCTAATTGTTCCCCATGTAATGCTGCAGAGGTGCCCGGCTAAAACTTACGGGTGAGAGGGGGTTGCGGAGGAGAAGCGGTGAGGACGGAGCTGCAGGAGTCCTGGACAGCGGGACGGCTGGGAACCTCCAGCCCGAGACTGCTGGGAACACAGGTGACGCGAGGCGGTCACGTGACCTCCCGAAAGGGAGCTCTGGGAGACAGAGAGGCCGGCCGGCTTCCTGAGTCAGGAGGAGACGCCGGTTCTCTCACTGACAGTGCAGGTGGACCCGGCGCAGTGACTCGGTTTAGCAGGAGAGGAAGGAGAGAACATTGGCTGGCCTCCTATGGAGTCGGAGCCGGCTCAATAGAGAAATACTCCCGACTGCCGGTTACCCTGGAGTGAAGCGGACAGTGAAAGAAGAAAGAGACTCGCAGAAACCTCCCCCCTTCCTCCCCTCCAGTCGAAGGGAAAAGGAGCAGAGACACACCAGAGTACTTAGATCCTAAAGGACAGCCTCACCGGAGAAAAGCAGCTGGAAGGAGGGTGAGTGAGAGTGTCTGGACTGTATAGTAAATCTGTGCATGGACAGTACCTTGATGTAGCAGGAGAAGTATATATAGAGAAAAAAGGGGGGATCACCAAGTAGGTTGAAGAAATTAGAATACATCTAAAGGACTCATTGTCAGCATATACCCTAAAGTTTAAAAGAAGAGAATTTGGATATATATAGAAAATATGAAGAGTAAAAATAGTAAAGGGAGCGGCCCCAAGCATGCCCAATCTGGAACAATTAGAAAATTTACGTCCCAAGGTAATGTGACCCCAGAAAGAACTCAGGGGGCAGGTGAAAAAAGTATAATGGAAAGCAGTATGGATAAAAGCGCCAGATCTCCTGTGGAAATGGATAACAATAGCCAACAAATAACAGGGGAAATAGAGTTAAATAAAATGAAGGAGAACTACAAATCCCAAATCAAAAGGAGATGGCAGAAATGTTTAGAAATCTGGAAAAATCAATTAAACAAGAAATGGGAATTATTCGGAAAGACCTGGGACATCTCTTGATTAGAGTAGAAGAAACAGAAGAAAAAATTAAAAAACATGCTCAAGTCAAGGGGTTGTTGAGGGGGGAGGGGGGAGGAGGATGTTGGGGAGAGGGGAGGGGAAAGGGGAGGGTTGTGGTGGGGGAGGGGGAGAAGGATGGTATAGGGGGAAGGTCTTAAAAATACTCTGCATAGGGAGAAGATGTATACAAGAAATATGGAAGATATAAAATTTATAACATACAATGTAAAGGGGTTGTATAGTCCTGGGAAGAGATTTAAGCTATTTAAGGAGTTGCAACATAGAGAAGCTTCGGTAGTTTTTTTTACAGGAGACGCATTTCGAAATTAAGTCAAATATTAAATTAATCACCAGAAATTATCCAACATGGTTCTATGCAGACTCCCCAATTAAGAGAGCTAAAGGGGTGGCAATTGGGTTTGCTAAAAATGTAAGGTGGGAGGTGGAGCAGAGAGAGACGGATCCTGAGGGGAGATTCTTGTTTTTGAAAGGTAGATTGCAGGAAATAGAATGTACAATAGCGAATATTTATTGCCCAAATAAGAGACCAGAGGTGATACCTGAAAGGGATATTAAGAAAATTGATGGACTTTAAAAAGGGAAGATTGATAGTGGCGGGAGATTTGAATTTATGTTTAGATCCACAGATGGATACAACTTCTCGTGTGCAACGAGAGGGAGGTAGGTCTATGAGGACCTTAAAGAAGGAGATACAAGAGGGTCAACTAGTGGATATATGGAGAATAACGCATGGAAAGGAAAGAGACTATACCTTCTTCTCTAATGCACACGAGATCTACTCGAGATTGGATTATATAATGGTAGATCATCAACTTATCGAGAGGGTGGTTAAAGTAGAAATAGAGACAATGACTCTCTCAGACCATGCCCCAGTTATAATGAAGGTAAGATGGGGGAGGCAGCTGACAAGGGGGGTAGGATGGAGGTTAAATGAGGCCCTTCTGCTAGATCAAGAGGTCGATCAGCAGATCAGAAAGGAGATGGAAAGATACTTTCAGGAGAACGAAAACGGGATGTGTCAGTGGCCACTGTCTGGGAGTCCCATAAGGTATATATTAGGGGTATACTGATTGCGCTAGGGGCAAAAAAGAAAAGGGAAAGGAGTAAAAAAATGACAGGGCTCTTAAAAGAATTTTATGACCTGGAACAGATCCAAAAAAATAGAACAAGTGAGATAATGGCAGAAGGTAATAGGAAAGAAGAAAGAAGTGGAGATATTAATGGAAGAAGAAAGGAGGAGAGTACTTAATAAAGTAGCAGGGGAGAGGTATAGATGGGGAGATCGACCAGGAAAATATTTAATGAAAGCCCTGAGAAAAAAGAAAAATAGAAATTATATAGAAAAAATAAGAAATCCCAAGGGAGAAATGGCTCACTCTACTAAAGAAATCGGGAAGGTGTTCAAGGAATATTACAGTAAGCTGTATAATATTAATTCTCAGAACTTAGTAAATAATAGTGAAAATCAGAACAGAGAAAAAAGAAGGGCATATTTAAAAAAAGCAGGACTACCAAAGATAGATGAAGATCTATTGAAATCCCTGGAATTAGAAATCACTCAGGAGGAAATAAAAATAGCATTAAAAAAAAATACTAAGGTGGGGAAAAGCCCTGGCCCAGACGGATTTACCGTGAGGTATTATAGCGAACTGTTAATACCTAAATTGAAGGAGTATATGAATGCCTTGGGTGGAGAAATGGAGATTAGACAGGAATCACTACAAGCCCATATAACACTTATACATAAGGAAGGGAAGGATGCTACTCAATGTTCTAGTTATAGGCCAATTGCACTCCTGAATATAGATACAAAATTATATGCAAAGGTCTTAGCAAATAGGATGAAAGATTTAATGCCAGAATGGATCCAGGGAGATCAGGTTGGTTTTGTATC